CCAACCTGGGCTGGTTATCTGTTTCACCCTAGATAATATACATGTTTCAATGCTGTTCTCTTGAAACATCCCACCCTCGCCTTCACTTGTGAAGAAGACTCTTGAGAGTCCCTTGGACTGCAAGGATATCCAACCAGTCAATCCTAAAGGAAATCAGTCCTGAATATTCATTGAAAGGACTGATGCTGAAGCTGAAACTCCAATACTTTGGCCACCTGATGTGAAGAACTGACTCATTGGAAAAGACCCTGATGCTGGGCAAGATTGAAGGCAGAAGGAGAAGGGGATGACAGAGGATGAGATGGTTGAATGGCATCACTGACTCAATGGACATGAGTTTGAGTGAACTCCAGAAGTTGGCGATGGACAGGGAGGCCTGGTGTGCTTCAGCTCATAGGGTCACAAAGAGTCGGACACTACTGAGCAACGGAACTGAACTGAACTGAAGGGTGGACTAGCAGTCAGTGAACTGAAGGGTGGACTAGACTTGAGTCAACTCAAGACCTATTTGTTCTTAAAATTTAGCTAACAACTTTAAAAATATTGTCTGAAACTCTGTTCTGTTCTGTACAGTCTAGCAGTTGGATTATAGATGATTTAGTCTTCTGGAAGCTCTTCATTGATCCTGCCTATGCTTGCTAGGTCCACCTAACTCAAATAATTTGAAGGACAGAATTCCTGTCTTGTGTAGTATATATATGGGTAATATGGAAATAGCTTGCTAAAGACTTTTTCACTTAATCCGCAGTGGACACTAGAATATATATTCTAGTATATATATATATATATATGTATATATATACATATATATATACACGTACCTAAAATATAAATGTATCTTGGCAGGAAGATGATGTTTTGTTTAGTCGCTCAGTCATGTCCTGTTCTTTGCGACCCCATGGACTTTAGCCTGTCAGGTTCCTCTGTCTATGGATTTCTCCAGGCAAGATTACTGAAGCGGGTTGCTGTTTCCTTCTCCGGGGGCTCTTTCTTACCCGTGGATCAAACCTATATCTCCTGCATTGGCAAGCAGATTCTTTACCATCTGAGCACCAGGGAAACCCTGGGAGGAAGCTAGCCTGGCTTAAACTTATCTTTAACAATTTTTCCCTGGTTAGGTATGTGACTCTACTTCTCAGCAATTTACTAATGTTTTAGAACTAAGATAAATTATGTTCCCATTCGAATTTCTAGTTTCTGGTTTTTTTTTTTTTTTTCTGTTAAGTCTTCATGCAGACAGTTTATAGAATTTCCTTTTACTTCCCCACCTTATGTCTTAATAACAATCATAGTATAAATAATCCATTGCTTCAAAATCTCCATTCACTCATACATTTTATTCTTATTGACCTTGGCTTATGAAGCTTGGATGGAAGACATCACTAAATAAGAAAGAACTAGTTGAACTTCTATTCCATGTTTCAAAGTCTTAATTGAGACCTCAGTCACATGGGAGCATGAAATTTTTTTATGCCTACTTGGGGAAACGACTAGTTTAAAATACAAAAGAATTGTACTATAGACAACTTACTCAAAGAAACTTTATTTTCTGTCTTTAAAAATCACCAAGTAAATATTTTGGCAATGGAAAATTTTTGTTTCCTGTAGTTTTGTGAAATTTTAGCATTAAAATCAAATTCACCTGGTCTCAGGTATCACTAAAAACTCTTATATTTGTGCCAAATTAGCTGAAAAGTTTGGCCCCATATATAATGGAGAATTAGGGCCACATTTTAGGCAAACTTAGGCATTTATTTATTTTAGGCTGAAAGAACTTAAAATTCAACCAATTTGGTTATTTTTTTAGATTTTCTATTTTTTTTTCAACTATAAAATGTGAACCCAGATTCAAGAGGCATAGAGTGAAGCCTCAGTTTTAGCAATAAAGTATTTATGAACTAAAAGAATAATATGAGACTTCTACAGAAACTTGGTGACTGAACAGTAAACTTTAAATTGTAAACAACCAACTTAGAATATGGGTGAGAAGTGAACATCTCATAAAATTTTCTCTTATTTTTTTCTCTTTTTTCCCATATAGCTCTAGCTGTAGAATTTTGCACAAGTTCTTCATTGCAGTGCTACATTGTTGTTGTTGTTTTTTATAGGTTCTGTAGATGAACTTCTCTTAATTTATTTCTTTACCTTCAATTTGAATCACTCTTTCTTTCTTTCTTTTTTCTTTTTTTCAGGCTCTTCTTTCATAAGAGAACTTAGAAGAATTTGTTTGTGGACGGATTCATAGGACACAGTGAATGGATCCAGTGACAGTGCACTCTGATCGTTTCTTCCTCTTGAACATTTGGAATCACGATCGTTGGACAGGACACAGCCTGGCGACACACCCCTACTAAAGCATGAGCTTCTTATGTTCAATGGCAGCAGGTCCCAAGAGGTGTGGAGGTGGCCTCTGTCCCTCTCCTATTTCTAGGTATCTCACTCTTGAAGCTCACAGTCATTTCCAAGCCACTTTCTCACTATTCTTCCCAAGAATGTTTAGAACTCTTATAGAAGTAAAACCTCTGAGATCTGCCTAGACTTATCTCCAAAGCCTCCTAAACATCCTTCATGGAGAGCTTTTCTTTCTTCCTTTTTCTTTCTTTTCTTTTCTCTCTTCTTTCTTCTCTTTTCTTTAACTTTTTGATTTGTACTGGTGTATAGCTGATTAACTATGCTGTGATAGTTTCAAGTGAAGAGCGAAGGTACTCAACCATATATATACATGTATCCATTCTCCCCCAAGCCCCCCTCTGTCTAGGGGGGCTAATACTAATACTGAGCAGGGTTCCCCATGCTACATGGTAACCAACAAGGACTACTCTTTCCTTTTTCAACAATAATCTCTTCAATCCTAACAATGAAGNCTTTCTTCTCTTTTCTTTAACTTTTTGATTTGTACTGGTGTATAGCTGATTAACTATGCTGTGATAGTTTCAAGTGAAGAGCGAAGGTACTCAACCATATATATACATGTATCCATTCTCCCCCAAGCCCCCCTCTGTCTAGGGGGGCTACCACTAATACTGAGCAGGGTTCCCCATGCTACATGGTAACCAACAAGGACTACTCTTTCCTTTTTCAACAATAATCTCTTCAATCCTAACAATGAAGATTTCCATGTTCTAGGACAATATTATCCTCATCTTGAAGAAAGGATAGAGGAGTGATGTCCCTCACTGTCTACTATAAAACAATGTCCTATTTTCTTTTTTTTGCCACATGGCACACCATGAGGAATCTTTCCCAACTGGCGATCAAACCTGCACCCCCTACAGTGGAAGGGTGGAGTCCTAACCACTGGACTGCCAGGGAAGTCCAACAATGCCCTGTTTTCTGATGAGCTAGATAAAACATCATTTGAAGTATTTTCTGTCTCCATTATCATGTTCCTTTAAGCCTTTCCCCTCACTGTTGTATTGGTATCTTATATGCTCTATAGTCTAGTTAAATCAGACTCTTAGTTATCATTCATTCATCCCTTCATTCATCAAATATTTATGTTCTAGGCTCCAAAGACATATCAATAAACAAAACAGACACACTCTGTGCTCTCATGGACCTTGTATTCTAACATCTCCAGGTATCCCCCACTTTGTCCATTTGCTCATTTTTCATGTGCTCCTTACAAGTTTGTCCAAACTCTACTTTGTTCAGGATTCTTTCAGCTGGTACATGGATTTCAAAGCCAAATTCAGAATGCCCTTAACCTATAAAGTGCCTTTAAAACTAGACTTGCTGTTAATATTTGCAAACCTAGGACTGAAGTATGAATGAGAGCCACATACCATTTGTCTGAAAATATAAAAGATAAATTTACCTAAAACACTTGCTTGCCAGATAATGTCAAAATTGAAAAATGTGTAAGGCTACAGAGTTGCTAATATCCAAGATTATGAAATTCACAATTACTGTGAATGCCTGGGAATCCTGTGTTGATCAACTGACACTTTTTGGATGAGTGGTAAAATATAAATATAATTAATAAATTACTATACATTTATTTCATGCAATTTTTCTTGCCTTAATTTCAACAGAATCAGTAGTGCTGTTATGATCATGATTTTTTTTTTACATAATTATGTTATGTTGGCAGTAATGCCAATTTAGTAAGCATTTATTGAGTCACCATTGTTCTTAGACTTTTGTATTTTTAATTTCCAATTTGGAGAATTATAATAAACCTATTATAATAAACCATCAATAGAATTTTTAAAACAGTATCTGATTCTAAATCACCATAAATATTATATATTGTGTTTAACCATATTAGTTAGAAGACATGACAAAACAGCATCATCACAGAAAATATTTTATGGGTATTTTAACTTTCTTGAATAAAGTGTTAGCAATAATGTATTTCTTTGATCACCTTTTAAAACAATATCTAAATTCATATGGTAATAAAAACAATCAGTATGTCAGGTAATGTATTTATATGCTACTTCTACATTTACATGTACTAAAATTTAAGAAAAATTTGAAATGTTTAATATTGCAAATTGTTCCTCAGCTTCCATGCAGACCTATTGCCAGTATGCTAATTTGCTAAAGTAGGACTATGTAAAGTAGGATACGAAGAGCTGACTCATTTGAAAAGACCCTGATGCTGGGAAAGAGTGAAGGCAGGAGGAGAAGGAAACGACAGAGGATGAGATGGTTGGATGGCATCACTGACTCAATGGGCATGAGTTTGAATAAACTCTGGGAGTTGGTGATGGACAGGGAGGCCTGGCGTGCTGCAGTCCATGGGGTCGCAAAGAGCGGACACGACTGAGCGACTGAACTGAGCTGAACTGAGGACTATGTCAGGATGCCACACCTGGAACATAGGGAGAAAAAAAGTGTGCTCATCAACAACTGGGGAAAGATCCCTCTTTTGCACAAATCTATTGCATCTGCACTGAGAAGAAGGAAGGGACCAGTTACTGCATTTCTGTACTTTTTCTTATTTAATTGATTCTGCTCCTCAAATATTCCCTATATAATGAAGCAGTATCATCTCTGAAGTCCAACGTAGCATGCAGATGCACTCATCTTCTGTTTGGGGATAGACAGCAAGAGAGTTAAAGGAATGATCATTTGGGAACTGAGAGAAGTTTGATGTAAGAGCCATCATTTAAAATCACATGTTGGGGTGGATCAGCTCTGCCTGCTGGATTCCAATTGACAGGGTATCCAGGTATTCTTTTATAAATTCAGTTTCTATGTTTATACTGAGCAGATCTCCCTAAAGAGTGGAACCCAAAGAAAGGTATTCTTCTTACCCAAGTGGAAAAGTTTCTAAAAGAAAGTGTACTCAGTCTAGGAGTGATCTATCATTCTTAAATCTCTAAACACTTTGTATTTTTTCCTCCTCGTGCTTGGAAAGATGTGATAATTTGTCCACATGTTGTATCTCCTCATAGAGAAAACAGGTTCTTTATGACCAATGAGAGATATCTTGTTTGTTTTTTAAATCACAACCTGTGCCTAGTACAGTAGATTCAAGATGGTTCTTGTTCAGTTGCTCAGTTGTGTCTGACTCTTTGCCACCCCATGGACTGTAGCATGCCAGGCTTCCTTGTCCTTCACTATCTCCCAGAGTTTGCCCAAACTTGTGTCCATTGATTTGGTAATGCCATCCAACCATCTCATTCTGTGTTACCCTCTTCTCCTCCTGCCCTCAGTCTTTCCCAACATCAGGGTCTTTTCAAATGAGTTGGCTCTTCACATCAGGTGGCCAAAGTATTGGAGCTTGAGCCTTCCAATGAATATACAGGACTAATTTCCTTTAGGATTGTCTGGTTTGATTTCATTGCTGTCCAAGGGACTCTTAAGAGTCTTCTCCAGCACCACAGTTCGAAAGTATCAGTTCTTTGATGCTCAGTCTTCTTTATGGCCTAACTCTCACATCCATACATGACTACTGGAAAAACCATAGCTTTGACTATAGGTACCTTTGTTGGTAAAGTAATGTCTCTGCTTTTTAATATGCTGTCTAGGTTTGACATAGCTTTTCTTCCAAGGAGCAAGCGTCTTTTAATTTCATGGCTGCAGTCACCATCTGCAGTGATTTTGGAGCCCAAGAAAATAGTCTGTCTCTATTTCCATTGTTTCCCCATCTATTTGCCATGAAATGATGGGACTGGATGCCGTGATCTTAGTTTTTTGAATGTTGAGTTTTAAGCCAGCCTTTTTACTCTCCTCTTTCACCTTTATCAAGAGGCTCTTTAGTTCTGCCCTTTCTGCCATTAGGTTGGTATCATCTACATGTCTGAGATTATTGATATTTCTCCCAGCAATCTTGATTCCAGCTTGTGCACAAATACCCAGCCTGGCATTTCACATGTTATACCCTGCATATAAGTTAAATGAGCAGGGTGACAGTATACAGCCTTGACGTACTCCTTTCTAATTTTGAACCAGTCTGTTGTTCCATGTTTGGTTCTAACTGTTGCTTCTTGACATGCATACAAGTTTCTCAGGAGACAAATAAAGCAGTCTGGTATTCCCATCTCTTTAAGTATTTTCCACAGTTCGTTGTGAGCCAAGTAGTCAAAGGCTTTTGTGCCATCAATCAATGAAGAGTCAAGATTGTAGAGTCTCAACTTACTTTAAAAAATTTTGAATAGCTAAACTAAGTAAATAAAAGAAAAATACTACAAACTGTAATTCATTGTGTAACAATGTAACAAACTGTAACCCTTGTGATTTTTTTGTTTTTGCTTTTTAGTTAGGAATGCATTACACATGCGTGTAATGGGGTAATTAACAAAACCAACACTAGACCAGTTGGGGTTGAGGCTGAATCATTGAGACAGTAATAATAGTGTCACAAACTGAACTGTGACTATTGATTACAGTGTGGGTGGGAGATGAGAGATGGAAAGAGGAGTGGGAATCAGTTTAGTTGAAGGTGAAATTGGTAAATATTAATGAAAGGCTCACAAGGGAATAAGAGATGTAGGACTAAAATGTAAGCCAGAGATTGAGGTTAGTGAAAGATTTTTGTCTTGTGATTCAGAAATTATAATGCTAATAGTTGCCTTTTAATAATAATCAGTATATTTTAGTGTTTACTGTGTGTAAAGTAGTTTTGTTTAATGCTCTATGCATACCAGCTTATTTATTTCTTAAGGCCACATGAGATTAATATTACCATGATCCTTTTTTTTTAAAGAATATAAATGAGGCTTTGAGAGGGTTACTTGCCAACATTTCATTGCTGACAAGTAACAGAGTAAGGAAGTCAACCCAGGTATTTCTGACATCATAGCTTGCTGTTTATCACCAAGGGCATTTGAAGCCATGGGACTGGATTCCAGTTCTTTGGCAGAAGGTAAAAAGAAATATGAGAAGAAAATGACACAGGGAATGGTAACATCTGGCAGAAGGAAAGGAAGCTTTGATAATTAGCCTATTTAACTTACTAGTGAAAGAAATCACACCTGA